TGTGTGTGTGTGTGTGTGTGTGTGTGTGTGTGTGTGTGTGTGTAGCGTTTGAAGACATGCTGGAGAATCCACTTAACAGCACCCAGTGGATGAACGACCCTGAAACCGGCCCTGTAATGCTCCAAATATCCAGAATCTTCCAGACTCTCAATCGCACATAAAAGCCTTCTGGTGACCCCTGTGTAATTGTTTTAGAGTGTGCGTGCCTGTATGTGTGTGTGTTTAATCATACTGGAAATTTAGGTATGAATGTGACAAGAGTATACATTTGTTTTGTTTCTCTTTTGCCTTGTGAAGACAAAATCAGAGGAGTCAAAGTATGAATTAAGTTGTTACACTATTTATAATAACTATACAGTAAAAAAACACTTATATAAAACAAATATTATTACAGTAATAATGTAAATTGAGATTTAATATGTTGTTTTTACATTTTAATGGTAACAATTTATAGGTATGACGGACATGATTTATTTTCTATCATTTCTCCACGTGCAGAAATGACATCAAACATCAGTTTAATGTTTACACTTCTGATAAAACTGTTTTTGTATGATTTACAATATTTAAATATCAATTACAGTTGTCTGTCTCTTCAAATTGTTACATTTCATTAATCATGAATGTGTGGCAGACCTCTGTCACTGTYGTGTGTAGGGTTTCTTCTTCCCATGTTAACTTTACGTTAAACCGCGGGTTATTATCTTGAGTCGAGTGGAGCTCTTTGAAAATGGGCTTTCAGATACCTCTGTCCGTTCACACCTGTGAGGTCACCATAAGTCACCTGCCTCTCACGTCAAAGACAATAATCTTTGTCTTTTATCAAATGTATTTGACTTTTGTTTGCCTTTTTAAGAGAAAAACTGTACTCTAAACTGTATGTTTGTCCTGATTTTACAAGATGTTACTGTAAGCCTGTGTGTTTTCTCGTCAGTGTTGACTTGAATGTCATAATATCATGYCGTGCTCATTTAGCACTCGTTCACTTATTTAAATACTGCTCACTGCAGCACAGAGGAAGTAAAAAAGAAGGGTTTCGTTTGAAGTGGGATCTTTAAATGGAGCTGAGCTTGAACAAAAGGGGTTTGCCTTTTTAACCTTTAATTTGAATGATAAACGATGTGTGTTCGGCTCACGCGAGGTACAAGCATCCTAAAGACATTTAAGCTGAGATACAACCCGTGTAGATGTTTAAGTTTCCTGTTTTCTTTTGAAAGAAATGAACATTTTATGCTGTCAACCAAATCAAAAATGTTCCTGTATACATGCCTTGTCACCAGTTATACCCAAGGGAGAAAAAAAAACTTTCTGTGCAATAATAATGACTTATAAAGACATATATTTGATCTGAGTATTAGGGTATTTGACCTGAAAGAGTTGATGTGTTCTACGATATTAGCCTTTGCATTGAATACTAAAAGACTCTTGCTCTAAGTTGGGGATTTTTTGGCTGTTGTTAGTTATAATAAGACTTTAGAAATGAATATGGAGCGTGTTTTATTTTATTTTGTTTTGGCCAAGCTTTTGAGTGTTTTTATTCTGTATTTAAAATGTAGTACTGATGTGACTTTCTGCTCAGGGAGGCTTAGATTGTTCTTATGGCAAACCCCTGCTCACCTCCATCTGGCTTTAATGAATTACTCTAGATAGAACCTCGTTAATGAATAAGAACGACTCAAAACATGGTTTCATACATGCAATATCTGAAAATATTTAAATGTATTTTTTTTGTTGTTTTTGGAGAGTTGTTTTGTTTGAACTATGTTTTATTACATTATTTATATTAAAGCCAAACTAGTAACATGATCTTATTTATAATATTTTTAGCACACCTCAAAGCTAMTCTTCAAATGTGAAAATAAAAATGCTTCAAATGTTGTTTTTACAAACTATACTATAAACGTGCTTAATCTAAAATTGGTGGTGTAGTGTGATTTCAAGTGGTGCAACATGTTTGATCAAAGATGGATTTTTACAAGCTTCGAAACGTAAACAGACCTTCATCACAGTGTTGTGAATCATTCATTGGAAGAATGTGCATTTAAGGGGAAAAAAGAGAATAAAGACTTTTTTTTTTTTAGAAATATTTAGCCGGAACCAAAACGATCAAAGTGAACTTAACTGCTTTTTGGATACTGAAGATAAAGCTGGAGTAATCTGTTATTTTTCACTCCATTATTAATGCAACACTGTGCCGGATTAATAACCTATGCAATTTACTCAATGCCTGTTTTTTTTTTTTTTTTTTTTGTGTGTGTGTGTGTCTAAAAACCTCAAGGCTATTGGCATCTAAATCACCTTCACATTAAAGTTATTTTATGTGGCTGTATTCACTGGATTCTGTTTGGTCTCAGTTTATGTAAGAAATGCATTTGGGAAGCAGTGAATCAATGTAAAGTTAGAACTTAAGACATCTTAAGATGTTTCTTACATTRTATCTGTAATATCTTCTGCATGTGTCAGAAGGAATTGTAACATGATATAGCCACTGTGTAACACTGGGAGTAAAGCTAGGTTGCTCCAGTTCGTATGGTTTTGAACTTCTTGGAACTGAGTCAGAGTAAATATTTTTGAAATAGCATGCAATCTGGATACTTCACGAGCCACCATCTACCGGTAATACTGTATGTATTTAGCCCAAAGCTATTAATTGTTTTCTGAAGCAGGAGTAGAGCACTGAATTTAAAMTTTATATGAACCAAAAACTTCATTTAATACATTTGTCCAATTTAGTAGAACTAATGAAAGTATATCAGCATGCCGTAGTCAGTTCAGTTGTTTCCCACCATCAAACATACGATTAACAACCAGCCAACTAGTTTTTTTTTTTTGTATTTTCTGAAAACATTTAAATGTTTTTTCCCTTCACATAGCAGCACTAGATGTCAGCAGTGGACAATATTACAAGGGTGACCAATGACCACAGTGATTATACAAACACCAGATATATATATATA